CTTATATCTATGTACAATTATTTCTTTGTCACCGTGAATAAAACAGTGAGGAAGAGTGACAAGTGAGACCCCAAGAGACACAGCATCTTTCTCCTGTCACTGTGACAAGGATACACGCTGGACACCACTGACTTTCCTCTAAACAAGAGGCACATTGGAGAGCTCTGAACCAACCAAATGGCCTGGCTTAATGCCGAACTCAGCCGAGTCAGCTGAACTGTAGTTGACCTGCAGACAAGTGGACAAAAGATAAATGTTTTTGTTGCAAACCATTAAACTCAACCAGCGTTGTCATGGAGACAGCAGCAGCTTGATTTGCTTTGTGCATGGTCATTGGTGACCTCCTGGCAGTCCTGATGGGGAAGTGGTGTGGCCCAAGCTGGATTTGGAGGGTGCTTAGGAGTAAGGAAGGCACTGGGAATGGTAGCCAGAAAGTGGTCAGGTAGAAGCCTTTTTAAAAACCTTGCTTTTTGGAGATGGAAGAGACTGGATTGTGTTTGAATGGTGTAGGGAGAGAACTGATTGAGAGGGAGACTTTGGTTATTTAGAAAGGACATCATGTGGGGGGTGGGGTGATTTAAAACCCAGGTGAAGAGATTGGCCTTGGTGGGAAGAAGGGAAGTAAAGCACAGTTAATAAAAACTCAGAGTCAGCTACTGGGGCCCAACCGAAGGTCAGAAAAGCAAAACAGCCAGCCACTGGCTCTTACCTCTACCTCAGTCCAAAATTGTGATCCTGCCTCCAGGAATCTCAGAATGAAACTGAGACAGTTAGCTGTCTCTCCCGTTTTATATTCCTCTCAGAGGCTGAAATTAAAGGCATGTACCACTGGGATTAAAGGCATGCATTACCTGGTTTCTATGGCAACATGTTATATCTTCAAATCAGTGTTCAGAGGAAAAGTAAGTCAGGCAAAAGACTGTAGATAGTATGCTCCTGTTTATACGAGCATCCTCAAAAGCTGAATTATAGGAACAGGAAAGGGTTGGGTTGTTCCACACAACTTGCTGGACTGAACCCTTAATGACTGCAAGTTTTCGCGTCTCTAGACTACAGCTTGATTAACCTGATGTAGGAGAACACAAGCCCCCTAAATGGCTCTCCTGTGTTAGGACAGATGAACAATATCTCTAAGTGTTATCAGCATCATAATTACCTCAAAGGGGAGGCAGCTTTCTTGGGTGTTATTCACATCAATAGTTTTTGAATTCTAGCTCCTCTACCTCAGAGAAAGAGAATTAATTCCGGACTATGCATGAGAATTTCCAGAGTCGGGAGCACTGAAATGGACCTTTCAGTGAGGAAAGAAGGTGCAAGAACACAAGACAAGAGAATCAAGCCCACACAGCTGTTTCCTTGAGACTGCAGGAGAATTGTCTCCTCCTGGAACGCTGGAGGTAGGTGGATCACTTGGTAAGTTTCAGGTTTCTTGCGTTCTGCTGCTAGGACATGGTTGTGAAGCTAAGCTGGTGGCTCCTTTGTTCAGCCTTCCAGAGCAATCGCTTTGTCTTGGTGAGCATTGCTTTGTATTTTCCCTTCAACTCTATTTACTTTGATTTTAATTAATTGTTGTGTATGTGTGTAGATGTATGCATGTAGTCACGAGTGCATAAATCCTGTCTTGACAATCTCCAGATGTTCCCTTCCAAACCTTCCCTCAGACTCTCTGTTAATTGGTTCAATAACAAGTTCCCTTGCAGCTAATTATGACTTAATCCTGGTTCTAAGTCAGTTGAAGGCTCTTCTCCTTGCGGTGACTTCTGAGGAATGGGTGCCTGTATGCTAGAAAAACAGTTTAGGCCTCTTGCACGTCTCAATTTCCACCTTTCCACACCTACCCAGAGCCTTCAGGCCCCACAGCTCTGCAGCAGCCCAGACCTCCCCACCCCCATGGGACTGAACTATGAGCAATCGATGTGCCGCCCATCCTTCTCCAAAACGGAGAGGGTGCCCCACCCTTCCCTTATTTTTAGCCTTTTAAACTAATGCTCATGGACTGTACATATTTTGGGGAACCACATGTTATGTTTTGATCATGTATATACTGTGTAAAGTTCAAATCAGGATAAATACGTCTTTCGCCTAAAGCACTTATCATTTCCTCATGAAAAATATTCAAAATGCTTTTAGCTTTAAAACAATATACAGTATATTACCATGATCTACAGTCTTGTCACCAGCAGCAACAGGGAGCACAGCTCAATGTTGCTGACTGTGCAGCCCCAGTTCCTCTGAGTCTCACACGCCTTCTATAGCTCAGCGTTGTGGCTGTGCAGTCTGAGGAGCCCCTCTGAGCCTCCGACACCCATCTATGCAGTCTGAGGAGCCCCTCTGAGCCTCCGACACCCATCTATGCAGTCTGAGGAGCCCCTCTGAGCCTCCGACACCCATCTATGCAGTCTGAGGAGCCCCTCTGAGCCTCCGACACCCATCTATGCAGTCTGAGGAGCCCCTCTGAGCCTCCGACACCCATCTATGCAGTCTGAGGAGCCCCTCTGAGCCTCAGACACCCATCTATGCAGTCTGAGGAGCCCCTCTGAGCCTCAGACACCCATCTATGCAGTCTGAGGAGCCCGTAAGAGTCTCAGGCACCCCATCTATGTAGTCTGAGAGCCCTTCAGAGACTCAAACACCCCATCTATGCAGTCTGAGGAACCCCCAGAGCCCCATCTATGCAGTCTGAGGAACCCCTCAGAGCCTCAGATACCCCCCTAGAGTAGAGCTGGAATTCTTGACTTGCCACAGAAAAGAATTTCTTCATGAGTCAGAGCCAAGCCAAGCCAACAAGTGTACTCTTAAGGAGAAAGGACAGCCATGCGCAGGAGGTTGAGTGTGGGAGAGGAACCACCTATGTTAGCGATTTGGGGGCTTTGGAGTTGCATTGTTTGAAGGAGATGATCTATAACTGAGGCCGAGGAAGAAGAAAAAGATGTCAGCCTCCTTCTGTCTTTATTAAAAGAAGTATTTTTGTTGTTGTTACATGAAATTATGGATGATTTATAAAGCACAGGGAAGGCGTACATATGAGGAAGAAATGAGGCAAAACGTTCCTCAAATTAACACGTGCAAGTGGTTTTGCTTTATATAGTTCATGCAAAAAGGTTAAGGCCCGTAGTTTTTATCCTGAGTGTGCCTCATTAGTCGTATTAATTACCTTGTAGCATTTTTAGGAAGCATATTTCTACATACAGTGTCTGTGTAGGCTGACCTCTAGTAAACGGTGTCAAAGCTCTTGACTCAGTCAACAAGAGACATAAATCAGGTCGGGGCAGGTGAAGGTCAGGGGCTCTTTCCCTTGCCCACGCCCCCTTAAGTTCTTCCTACCACACAGTGTCCTGTGGCTTTGACTGGCTCTGAAGAGGAGGCCAGGCAGAGTGGCTGAAGTCAGAACATACATTGGAGTGTATTCTCAGTCTAATGTAACGATGAAGAACATTCACTTAGGAGTCTGGAGAGCCTGGGCTCAAATTCTGGTTTGTTTTTGATTAGTTATATGGATGAAAGCAAGGAATGTCTCTTTGTTTCTGTTTCTACTGATGGTATCTACCTCCCATAGACAGTAGTGCTATAGGGATGGTTCCTGGTGCCCACTTATTGTCCCCCGTTTCTGCCAGCTCTCAAGAATGGTTAATAGTAGCTGCCTCATGAGAAAGGGCAGCATTGATGACTTGAGGATCCTGAATACTTGTTGAGCTATATGCCACAATAAAGCTGAAGCTCAATTCCCAGTCTCTAAACGCTGAGGTTTAAAGAGCACTTGGTTGTAGGATTTTGAAGATACTGTATATTCCCTGTGCATATTTGTAATCAAAATGTCAAATTATAGATGATGGAGAATATAATATCTATAAGTGGCATTTATTCTTTCTGAAAATACTTAATAAAAAAATGAATGAGCCGGGCGGTGGTGGCGCACGCCTTTAATCCCAGCACTCGGGAGGCAGAGGCAGGCGGATCTCTGTGAGTTCGAGGCCAGCCTGGTCTACAAGAGCTAGTTCCAGGACAGGCTCCAAAACCTCAGAGAAACCCTGTCTCAAAAAAACCAAAAAAAAAAAAAAAATGAATTAAAGGAGAAAGCCGGGCATTGAGGTTCACACCTGTGCTCTCTAGGCCGAGGCAGGAAGACTACCGCAGTTCAATGACAGCCTGGCATATGTAGTGAGTTTCGGGCTAGCCCAGGCTACAGACTGAGATCCTGTCTCAAACAAGACTAGAAATAGCAAGCAAGCAAGCAACCCTAAAATAAAAATGGGGTGGGAAAAGACTTGGGAAATAGCTCAATGAGTAAAATATTTGCTAAAGAGCCAGGAGACCTGAGCTTAGACCATCCTCCCCCCTCCCCACCTGTCCCAGCCACTTAATCCCTCTCCTGGGGGAAATGGAGACAGCTGGCCTAGCCTACTTAGGAGCTAGCCCATTGTCAGTGAGGAATGAGACTGGGGTCTGAATTCTTCCTATGCACACACACACCCTCCACACACGAGCACGCACGCAAACCCACACAGAACCAAACACCACCACCACCCTGCCGCAAAATAAATGAGTGAGTCAATCAATGGAGATAAATGGGAGAGCCAGCCAAATGGGACGAGAACAGACCACAAGGCAGCCAAGGAGGCCAAGAGGCAGTCAGGCTGCGACCTCAGCGCAGAGCTGGGAAAGAATGGCCTTTAAGTCCTCTGCCTATCAACTCAATGCAACACTTTGTCAAGTGAAACATTGGAGACTCTGGGAATCCATGTAAACAGGCAGCGAGAACGGGTCTGTGGAAGGGTTTGAAGTCTGGAGGCGATCACATTTAGCATGCCTGGGGAAAGAGGCCTCTGAGGCAAACCTTTCCCACCGCATAACTGCTCTGGTGGCTGACATAATTTGGGGTCATCTGTAGAGGGCTCTGATATGCAGGAAAAAAATGAACATGATTGAAACCTCACGTCTCCTTGGGAACAGCTGAAAACCATCTCAGTGAGAAAAAATTGTCTGTTAAAAATGAACGGGTCATAAGCAAGATTTATTTTTATAAGCAAGATATTTGATTAAGTTTATTGAATGACATTAGATGAAGAGAAAACATTAAAGAATTTGATACAAGAGACTGATATTTTTGTCTATGTGAAAGATATGAATTAAAAAAACCAAACAAATGAGAGCCACGGTGTAAAGGAATGTGTTTGTATACTACTGGAGAGCCTGGAATTTTAAGCCTAGAATCTTTCAATGTTACAGGGTTTAATCTGATACAATAAATTGTATACAAGAAACCTTTAAAAGTAGAAGGGCTCTATTTTCTTCATGAGGCTTTTCACAAATGGAGACCTACTCTGCATCGTGTTCGGCTGGAACGGCATGGGATGCCCAGCAAACTATGAAGACCATTAGGGAAACCCGCCTTCCTTAAGGGGGTGAAGCAAGGGAAGTATACCTCATACATTTCTTGTTAATACAAGCTACAGGTTCAGATTACAACCTAGGACAGTTTGACTTTAAACAACAGGCCTATTACCAAACACATGGGTGTTACTGAGCACCCATCCTCAAATAACCCTCGTTAAAGAACAAGAATGTAGGTTGAGGATAATCCTGCAGGGTATTCTTTACACACAGGCATGCTTGTTTGTAAAAGGAATTTATTTTCTTGGAAATTGTTCAACCAAGAGCGGGGATAAAGGAGGGTGCAGGCGTTCCTTGGGGGACAGGGCCTTCAGGTGGTCCTTTTCTTACTCACTGGAGCTGGGGGAGTTGAAGATAGAGGTTTTCTGTGAATGAAAAACAAAGCCATAAGTCACACTTAGAGAAACACACACAAGAAACTAGAACTTCCCTCTGGTGACATCAAATAATGGCTCCTGGGCACCCTTGCTGAAGCAGTCTGAACGGCTGGACGAGTTAGCCCTGTTCTAGCCGGCACATGGAAACAGAGGGACAGCATGTGTCCGATGACTTTTCCCAATTGCAAAGGATTCCCCAGTGTGGCCGGCTAGGAAAGCTCTCGTGTGCTTCACTTACCTCCGTATATATTTGAGTACCGTCTTGAACCATCTGTCTTGAGGATTCACACATAGAATTTGCTTAGTCTTAGTCCAGATCCTGGAGCGAAATAAACACAAATAAAGATGAAACAGTGGTGCGTTCTTGTCCTGTGTGCTTTTTAATAATGAAGAGGATTGTCAAAATAATTATTCCAAAAAAAAAAAAACATCAAAATTTGAGCAAGAAGCTTCGAATCTGGAAGAAGCGATTTGGGGTGTGAGGTCCGTGGAAGAAGAGGACGACCGTTTGTGGACCGATGTGTGGGAGCTTGGGGGTCCAAGTTGACAGAAGCCTATATGTCCTAAGAGACTGTCTTGTTGATAGTCTTTCTATGAGTTAGAGAAGGGCCAAAAAGCTGACTCCAAAGTTGGGTCACTTCTAAACTTATACCCCAGTATCATTCAAATGTCTTATCTCCTGAGCTCAGGAGAGCAAAACAGACTAGAAAAACTGTTTTATCTGAAAAAATATATATATATTTTAATATGGAAGAAGTTTCAATTGGGCTCAGTGACATTTCTCCAAGTCACCAGTTGGCAAGACTTTTCCTGCCCTGAGAAATTAATCCACAACAAACCAACTCTCATAGCGAATGGCCAACCTTTGTCAGACATTGTTCTCACTGTGTGCCATAGGCCGTATGGTCACCTCAGTTCTTCCCTCAGAAGTCCTGTTCGAGAAGAACCATTGCTTTCTCTCCTGATGAGTGCAGAGTTCAGAGAGTTCAAACAACACATGGAAATTGTACTGCAAACGCACAATACAGCAGGATTGCTGGAGTTCTTGCAGAGGTGGTCTGACTTCATAACCACACTTTCAGCAATCACTGTGACCTGAATAGTTATCAAGTTCCAGACATGGTGCTAATGTTCCTCCCTGCAATGGAAGAGTAAGGTCTCCCAAGCGGTAGAAAACCAGGAGACTATAAACACTAATTTGTGTGAGCTTAAGCAAATGCAGTATCTTGATGTATCAGGCATCTTAGCTATAAAGAATAAGGAACCATCCATCTAAGTTCGATTTCTTTCTTTTTCTTCCTTTTTTTCCTTTTTTTTTGGGGGGGTGGTTTGAGACAAGATTTTGCTGTGTAGCTTTGGTGCCTGTAGACCAGGCTGGCCTCGAACTCACAAAGATCCACCTGCCTCTGCCTCCCTAGTGCTGGGATTAAAGGTGTGTGCCACCACCACCGGGCCTAAGTTTGAATTTCTACCTCTTTAGGTCAATCTTAGAAGCCATAAAACAAGTGGGGCCTCAAGGCAGCATCTGCCAGTTTGGTTTTAGAATCATGATGGCAAAACAGACTTTGGCCACCTGGATATGTTCATCCCTGACTAATGGATTTCTCCCAACAATCTGTAGCTTTCATTTTCATATCTGCCTACTGTTCAAAAATGCTGACTTTAACAAGAAGATGTACACTAAAACTTTCATTATTTCCAAACAACGGGTGTTAGGAAAGCAGAGACAATTAGGGAGGGTGTCCTACTTCCCTTGATTGAGAGGTGAGAGCATTGAACCAAGGGAGGAGAATGCAGCCAAAAGGCAAGGAAGGGTTCTAGTGCTCTGCCCCCCCCCCATTGGGCCCCATGGCTAGACTTTACTGTGGAGTTTGAGGGAAGTAACTGTGGCTTAGTTTAACTCTCGTTGGTGGAGACTCTGGTAAAAGTATCATGCCATCATGGCGAAAAGTTTCACAGAGTTTTGATAACCTGTATTTCTGCTTTGTCAGTCAAATACATCTGGTCCCAGCTACAAAGCCTTGTTTCAAAACGGGACAAGCAAGCATAGTTGCTTACAAACTTTCCAAAGCCCGAGGAAGTTCTCAAGGGCTTGGAGTGTGGCTTAAAAGGAGAAAACTGGTCTGGGATCTGTGAGGTTCTGGGTCTCCTCCTTAGCCCAGTCCACAGAGATGAACGAAGGGGGAGCAAAGGGGCGGGGAGAAGGGAGGGCAAAGGCGAGCTGCTGTTAAAAGGGAGGTTCCAACAAGGAGAATGAGGCTCTGTGTGAGCATCCTTCAAAGGCTGTGTAGGAGAGAGGGAGTTCTGACTCCATCCCTGCCTTCGGGTGCTGCAGGCAGGTTAGCTTCCTGAAGCCTCAGTGAGTTAACCTCCTTAACATCCCTTCCCCCGTTTCAGCCTCTGTAACCACACACACAGGCCTTGGTGGAGCAGCTTGAGAGATACAACGAGGGAGCAAGAGGTTACAGCTTTGGATTGCTGAGAAACAAGTATTTAAATATTACACATTTTCATGATTAATTTCAGATATTTAGCAACATCAAATTGGTCTCTGAGATTCTTGCTACCATACTGTTGCTAATTACAAATATATTTCTTCATCTGTTTTTCACTTGAGGAGAGAAATTATGTAACTTATTATTATTATTTTTTTTTTTAATTCTTGCAACTTACAGGGCTTCAAACTTTGGGCAGCCATTCCCAGGAGGTGTGACTTGAATCCGCTCTATGATGTTTGGACGGACAGGCCTTGAGATCGTCTTGGAACATTTACACTTTAGGCTTGTGTAATTGGCCTCCAGGATTCCTGTAAATGCAGAATCAGTCACTTCAACCCATTGGGCCTATAACTTAGAAGTAGAACTGAACTACCAATCTTCTATATCACGCCTTTGTAGAGGCAAACATTTCAAGCCAGCTGCATAAGCTTTCAGTTTGTGTATTTCTGTTTGTTTTGCCTTGTGTGCTTCCAAATGTTGTCTACCAAAACCTTAATGGAAATGACCTTAGCTTTTCAAAGTCGTAGCATTCGTTGACTGTCCTTGTGGCGTTATATTGGCATTTAGGTGATTTGACAGCTGATGCTCTAGGGACAGTCAACTATGTTACACCTAATGTGCTAGGAAATCAACTGATCTCCGCTCCCAGCGAAAAAGCAGAGGAGCAGATGCTGCTGGAGACTGGCGAATATTGTAAGCATCTCTCACAATCCTTTCTCTTAGCAACCCTCCACCCTCACTGCCTCTCTATCTGAGAAAACCCCTGGAGGATGCTTCTTCACTCATGTTTAATATCTTGGTTCTCAATATTTCTCATAATTATCACCAAAGGAAAACCAATAATAAAAATTGGAGGCTCTATTCAGCCACAATACTTAGTAGTTATAGACATTTTAGTGGTAATTCATCTCATGGATTTTTGTGAAGTCTAAGGTTTATTTATTTTTTATTTATTTATTTTAAAGAAATTGTTGCTGGGTTATCCAAGCATTTGAAAAGTTGGACAAAGGATGATTTTTATAAGTTCAAAGCTGCTCACTGAGACCTGGTCTCCCAAAACAAAACAAACAAAACCAAAAGATATTTATAAAATCCTTTGAATAAGTAAAAGCGTCATGTTCCCAAGGTGTCTACAGTTTTGTGGGCTGAACAAGGGAGCCATCCTTAGACCACAGCTGAGGTCATGTTACACATAGCCTGTATACTGATACTGGGAACGGAGCATTTCCTAGGGGCTAACTTTGTCACCAGCGGCATGAAAGCTTCGTAGGAGAGGAGAGAAATGAGTTTTGAAGGAAGAGTGAAAATGGGGATGTGGGGGGGGGGGACCTGCACATCTTAAGCGTAATTATCTGTCCTGTAAACCCGAGTGCTTCTCTCTGCCCACACATCCATCCCCTCAGCTGTATACACACCTTGCTATTTCAGTTAGACATTCATGCAGTCACGCTGAGACAGCTGCCCCATTCAGGCTGAAGTCAGCTCCTTGCCTCTGCTTTATTTAGGGTGTCAGGCCTTACCACGTGCAACTGTCCTGGGAATGTCGGACTCAGAGGCCAAGGTTTGACGAGGAGTGGCGACAAGAGGCAGAGCAAAGAGGAGCTGTGCAAAGGAGTCTTCCTGTCGGCGTCTGAGCTGACAGCCAACAATACACAACTATACCTAAGTCCTACGAACCCGCACCATCCTTCCTCTATAAAGGACAGTCTTGACACTTTGAAAGCTTCCGTTTTTAAAGGGCTAATTCCCTGGGACCTCACCCTTCCAAATCTGGAAGCAGTTGAGCCCCCACCCCTGCTCTTGTAAGACTTCCTTCCCAGTTTTAATTGAAGAAGAAATGGCGAGGACCATTTCTGCTCAAAGGCTAGAGAAATCATAAGTGAAAGTTCTCACCGTGGCCTGGAGCAAGGCAGCTGGCCAGCAGGAGGAGCAGGGCTGCTAGGCTGAGTCTCATTCTGCCTGGAGGTGGAGTCCAACCTTCAGCTCTGAGGCCAAGCCGAGGGCTCCCGACTCCAGACTCTTATTTATTTAGACCAGTGAGGGCCCTCCCACCGCCTGTCTCCAGTAGGTCAGCTGCACTGTCAGTCTCCAGATCCCCCAAAGATTGCTGAGTTTGCCTTTACAGAAAAAAGAAATTCATCTTGCAAAATTTATGACTATGTTCTGGATAACCAAGCATTTCTTGGAGATGCGGATTAAAAATGTCAGAGATGCCGTGGAGATCTGAGGGTGAAGAAAAGAGGAGAACGGGATCAGTTTGGAGACCCTCAAGTGCTCTCTTTTTTAGTGCTTGGGATCAAATCCATAGCCTGGAATAGGTTAGATAGACAGCCTAGCACAGAGCCCCTGCTCAGGACACAGGCCCACGCTAGGGGTGCAACTGGTGATTGTGGCTTCCCAGAGTGGAAGGTTGTCAAGTTTCTCTGCAATTTCGGATATAAGATGCATGGCACCAGTGCCTCTGTACATCATTCCTGTATGTCCCCAGCCTTTGCAAGAGGGCTCACCCTTGGTATAGGCTCAGTAAGTATACACCTGACAGACACTCTGGATCCTCAAGCTGCCTGTGTCCTAGACTTCTCTGCCAAACTTTTCCAACTCTTCATTTTATTCTCTGAAATGATGGTTACATATGGACATCTTAAAGGGGGAAAAATATATGGCTGTTCTTTGGTGTACTTATGTCAGGACGAAAGGAAGGTAGGGAACGGCTTTGAGATGAGCATCTTTGTGGCCGCACTTGCAAGTTAGTAAGCTGTGAGCCGCATGTCAGTAGACTCATTAGGACATCAGCTGGAGGACCTCGTTAATAGACTGTTCAACTTAAGCACCTGTGAGGTGTGGTTTGGATACCAAGGAAACAGTTAGCCTGCAGCCTTTCCGACTTTGCTACAGGCTCTTTGGTTTAAAGGAAGGTATTTGTGTAGTGGCCATCCTGGTCTTACATGCCAGTGAACTGACCTGGATAAGTGTAGACGGATCCCACACCTTGGATTACTGAGAAATCATGTTTAGCTTTCTGGAGTGACTTCCTGCACAATTTGGTGCTATGAATCAATTACTGAATGCTGAGTGCCCTCAGTGTTCCAATGTGTGTGTGTGTGTGTGTGTGTGTAAGAGAGAGAGAGAGAGAGCCCTTAGTACAACAAGCAGCTCTTCCATTTGGGTCGAATGACGGTAACAATAGGAAACTCGATCATGAGATAGTCTAGACCATCTTGTCCTGTCTGGCAGTTCTAGCTGTTTGAAAATCCTCCGCCCTAGTAGTGGGAATCAAATGATCCAGGGCCTTGACCATCCTAGGCAAATGTTCTGCTACTGGCCTATGCTCCTAGCCCAAGTTCTTCCCCGAGTGTCTGACAATGAATTCTCTACGAGTTTATGCATTGTCTCCTACTTCTGTTTGCTGTCACTGAATGAGGTCATTCTAAATGCTCTTGTATTAGGGTGCTCCAAACATTTGAGATCAGAATGAGTCATTGGGTTTCATGGGAGCCCGATGTGGAGATGGACTTTGGACGAAAACATTTATTTGGAATAACCCCTGAGATGGCAGAGGGGAGAAGAGAGACTTGGACTGCAATGCTGGCATGATGGAGCCTGCAACCGTACACCAGGGAGCTCTAGAGACCTGCTTCAGGGGCCTTGAACAGACAAAAATGTCCCCGCGGCACAGCAAAAAGGAGTGCTGTGACAACCACAAGAAAAGGGTCGAGACAAGGGGACCTGAAAGAGAGCTCTGAATAAAACCAGGAAACTTCTAAATTGACTTTTGATGGAACACCTTGGCTGTAAAAAGTCGAATTCTTATGAAGTTATATATGGCCTTGCTCAAATCACTATCAGTGGGTTGGATTGTCTCCCCATAGCCTGCCTCAAAGGAGAAACAATACAAGGAGGTGAAATCGTAGGCTTGCACACAGGCCCCTGAGGCTGCATCTCACTTGCCATTCCCAAGCCCCTCTATAAACTCCGAGTGCCTCTCTCCCTTGTCTCACACACCCCTTTCGGAAGGGAGGGTGTCTGACCTCCGTTGTTTGAAATAAAGGATTCAGTCTATAGCAGTCAGTATGCAGCCCCTTCTCCGCCTCCTGCCTCTTTAAGCTTCCTCAGGACTCTAACAGCTTTGATTAACAGAGTCATCAGGCCTGAGAGTAATTCCAGAATAGTCCGGAGTCTGATTTCAGTCCCTTCAAACTCAGAATTCTGTCTTTATTTTATGCTATCCACTCTGCCCAAAGATGGGATTGGTGTTTGGGCAATTCTGGTAGTCAGATGGTCCCAGAAGTTGGGATTTTCTAATATCATTTATAGTAGAGGTATGTATTCTAAAATCTTAGAAGCCCAGGAGCAAGAAGTTTGAGCTGATAGGGCTGGATGAGAAACATTCTATTTTTTCATCTTTAAGTTGTCATTGTTGTGTGTGTTCGTTCATGAGTGTGTGTAGGTATGTGTGGAGCTCAGAAGACAGCTTGCAGGAATTGGTCCCCTCCTACCATGTGGGTCCCAAGAACGGAACTCAGGTGGTCAGTTTCCACAGCACACGTCTTTATGTGCTGAGCCATCTCGGCAAGACCAAGCTAGGCCATATCCTTAGCAGGGCTGAGCCATCTCGGCAAGACCAAGCTAGGCCATATCCTTAGCAGGGCTGAGCCATCTCAGCAGGGCTGAAGGACTTTCCTTTTAAAACAGCTTTGCAGACGTCTTTGTTAAGAAACACAGATGCATCCAAAATGTGGGGAAAATCAGAAAATGAAGGGGAACGGTTTTTCCTCGGCCTTATCATAAATCAGATTCTCTCTCGACGCATTAGAACTGGGAACCTTCCTATCTTGGACCTTAGCTTGTAGGTACAAACAGGCATCATCAGTTACACACGGGAACCAGTTTAAAAGGCTGGCAGGAAAAAGAGGAACATGGGATGTACTCACTCATATTTGGTTTCTAGCCATAAATAAAGGACATTGAGCCTATAATTAGTGATCCTAGAGAAGCTAAATAATAAGGAGAACCCAAAGAAAAACATATAGGCATCCTCCTAAATATTAACCTTCATCAGGCGATGAAAGGAGACAGAGACCCACATTGGAACACCGGACTGAAATCTTAAGGTCCAAATCAGGAGCAGAAAGAGAGAGAACACGAGCAAGGAACTCAGGACCGTGAGGGGTACACCCACACACTGAGACAATGGGGATGTTCTATCAGGAATTCACCAAGGCCAGCTGGCCTGGGTCTGAAAAAGCATGGGATAAAACCGGACTCGCTGAACATAGCGGACAATGAGGACTACTGAGAACTCAAGAACAATGGCAATGGGTTTTTGATCCTACTGCACGTACTGGCTTTGTGGGAGCCTAGGCAGTTTGGATGGATGCTCACCTTACTAGACCTGGATGGAGTTGGGTGGTCCTTGGACTTCCCACAGGGCAGGGAACCCTGATTGCTCTTTGGGCTGACAAGGGAGGGGGACTTGGTTGGGGGAGGGAAATGGGAGGCGGTGGCGGGGAAGAGACAGAAATCTCTAATAAATAAATAAATTAAAAAAAAAAAAGGCTGGCAGGCCTGTAATCCCAGCTACTCAGGAACCCAAGGCAGGACGACTGAAATTTCAAGGCCAGTCTTGGGGGGTTAAATTGAACTCCAGACCTGCCTGGACATTGAAATGGAACTCAATCTCAAAATAATTGAAGGTTAAAAATCAGGCTGAAGATATAGCTCAGTGGCCATGTTTGCCGGCCGCACACAAGACTCCTAAACATTAGTACCACCATCACCACCACCATGGCAACGAAACAAACACACCCCCAGCTCTTGGCTTTTAACAAGATTCTAGGAAGTTTGAGCACTTTCTAAGGCCTGAGAGGCAGAACCTGGCAGACCCTGGACTGTAAGCTGTGGCTAGGGTTAGGGTTAGGGTTAGGGTTTGGGAGCCTTTCTTCAGGCTCCTATGCATATTTAAATCAACTTCAGATTTCATATGCATAAATTGTCCTTCCAGTGTGTTGCACAAACACCCCAGTGACTGACAAAGGATGACGGTGTGCCCTAAGATCTCCTGCAGAGCAGTGTCTGCAGCCAGGATATTCTGTGACATTGCTGAGAAGTGGAGTGCCCTGAAATCCAGAGACGGCAGGGATGACAAAGCGTCTGCCAGTCTAGGCTCTTGGCAGGCACTGAGCAGAGGGTCCACCCCGGAGTTCTAAATGACTGATATGACGAACATCCCTTCCACTTTTAAAGTATTTTATAATAACTAGAGGCGAATGTCACTGTGACAAAATTGGAAATGCTTCCCCCACCTCATTCCACTCCACTTAGCCAGAAACCAGAACCTGACTTTATTCTGTGAACAAATGTTTTATCTGCTGAACACCTGCTGTCTGTTTGCTTCCGATATACCTTTCGGTCAGACAGTGGAGCTTTGCCACCTAGGGTGGAGGCCCTGTGGGTCAGCTGTGGGGGTTTACACTCCGACACCAACCTTACTAGGCTGTTAGTTCCTCTGTGCTAGAGCCTGGCGTGACAATGACCATGGGACTAGGACCAGCTACACCATCCCAGAGAGTCACGTGGCTTCATTCAATGAATGCCAGCTTTTGTTTCTCACCTTTGTGAAAACACAACCATGAACATATGTGACAGAGTGGCCGTGAGTTAGACAGAAAGTCACTCCCGACACGAGCTAAAACGTCAATGAGGTTCTTACTGGACACCTTCATGTTTGCAGCTCTCTGGTCAAAGAGCTGTCCCTCTTTGAGAAGAACCCATCACACTATCTGAATTTCCCCCAGAAGACACTTGGAGAAATTTGTGTTTGCTATAAATGTACTGCAGCTCTGCAAAGGAAGTAGAGCTGTTTTTACTGTTATCATTTTCTTATTTCTATTAGATTTTAGACAACTCTATTGTGTTATAACTGGCGTGCAAAGGACTGCAGATATTGGACGTGAGCTGTTGGGCATGTCCGGACAACACTGACATTGGCCACC